CGAGGTGTTGTTTAAGATCATTATCCATTTGTAGAAGCCATCCTCTCTTTTAACTTCAGTTTTTTCACAGATGGCATCAAGTTACCATCCAAAATTTGCTGAAATTTTATTGAATCCATTTTTCCTTTTCTACTCGTGAGATGTTCCCTGTGCCACTGGCTGAAACACAACCCCAAAGCATGATTGATCCAACCCCATGCTTAAGAGTTGGACAGAGGTTCTTTTCATTAAATTCTGTGCCCCTTCTTCTCCAAACGTACCTTTGCTCATTCCGGCCAAAAAGTTCAATTTTAACCTCATCGGTCCACAGAACGTGTTTCCAAAATGCATCAGGCTTGTCTATATGTTCATTTGCAAAGTTCAAACGATGATTTTTGTGGTGAGGACGTAGAAGAGGTTTTCTTCTGATGACTCTTCCATGAAGACCATATTTGTACAAGTATCTCTTTATAGTGGAATAGTGTACCACAACTCCCAGTGTCTGTCAAATCTTTCTGGAGGGATCGTGCAGTTCAAACGTGGTTTTGAAATTGTTTTTCTCACAATTTCCTGCAAGCTTTTCTGTCTGATATTTTTCTTGGTCTTCTAGATTTTGCTTTAACTTCCACTGTTCCTGATGACTGCCATTTCTTAATTACATTCCGAACAGAGGATATTGACATCTGAAAACGCTTTGCTATCTTCTTATAGCCTTCTCAAAGCTTTGTGAGCGTCAACTATTTTCAGTTTCAGTTTTCTAACAACTGCTTAAAAGAACCCATGGTGCTGATTGTTTGTGGCAAGGTCAATGAGTTGGGCATTTAAAACCTTTGAGATTTTTATCACCTGGTCTTCCCAGACTGTGATTGAGAACAATCCATTTACACTGGACAGGTCCTTTTAGCTTTGCAAAGGGGGGGCAGTGCATGCTATAAATTCAGCAGGGTGCCCAATTTTTTGCAGACGCCATTTTTTTTTTTTAGTTTTTTGAAAGTGTAATTGAATGGAAATAAAATTAAGTTTTTGTTGAAATATTATAAGAATGTCTAATCTGTAATTTTTTTTGCCTTTTGGAGATTTTTCCATTATTTGTTGGCTTTTTTGCCACATTTTAAACAAATTTTTAGCTGGTTATTTTTTTTTTTTTTTTTTTTTTTTTTTTTTTTTTTTTTTTTTTATTTATTTTTATTTTAATATTATTTTATTCTTTGTTATGTGTAATTAATATGTATATTTTATTAAATATGTGTTTTTTTTGTTTATTTGATTTAATATGTGTTTTTTATTATTTTGGTATATAAATTATTTATATGTTTTATGTATTAATATTTTTTTATATGTGTTATATTATATGTATTTATATATGATTTATGTGTATTATCATTTTATTTATTTATATATTATGGTTTATATTTTTTTTTATTATTTTATTTATTTATTTTGGGATTTTAATTATGTTTATATTGTTATTATATTTTTATATTTTGCGTTTTTGTTTATATTATTTATAGGGTTTTTATATTGTGTTAAGATTTTTATTATATTTAGTATTTATTAGGGGGGGGGGTATTTAATTTAATATATATTTTAATATTTTTGTTGTTGTTGTGTATATATTAAATTTATTTTATTATATTTGTATATTTTTTTGTATATTTAGTATTTTTTGTTTATATTTTTTTTTTATTATATTTTTGGTGTTTTTATATATATATTATTTTTATAAATTTTAATTGTATATTTAATAATAAAATATATTTATTTTTATTTATATATATATATATATGTATATTTTTTATTTATGTATATTTTTTATATAATATGTATAATATTTTTGTATGTTATATATATTGTAAATAAAAATATGTAATATGTTATATATTTTATATAAGAATTTTTATATATATTATAGATATATTATTAATGTTAAGTTTTATATTATATATATATATAAAAAAATGTGTTTTATATTATATATATATAATTATTAGATTTTGACTGTATATAAATATAATGTATATATGTTATTGTATATATATATAATTATATATATTGTTTATATATAAATATATATTATATATATATTGTGTGTATATTAAGTATATATATAAATAAATTATGTGTAAATTTATATATATAATATATAGTAAATTATATATGTATGTTTATATATATTATATATATAATATGGTGTGTGTATATATATATATATATATATATTTACTGTAATCTAATATTTAATATAATTGTTATATATTTTTGTATATATATATTTAAAAATATGTATGGTTGTATATTATATATTATAATATGTGTATGTTATTATAAAATAAATTAAAATGGTGTTTATAGATAATATAAAAATAAATATAAATAGATATATTATAAGATATATATATATATATTGTTTAATAAAATATAAATATTTAAAAATTAATGTAAATATATATATTTTTATTGTGTGTTAATATAAAAATAATGTTTTATAGTTATATTTATATATTGTGTTTTTGTATAAATATAATTATATACCAAGTAAAAAAAGTAATATAGACAATATTATATTTTGGTGGTAATATTTATATTGGTGAAGATATTATTGTATTGTGTGTGTAATGTTAATTAATATATGTTTATATATGTGTGTGTAAATATGGTGAATAATGTATAATAGGGTGTTGTATAATTTATATATTTGTATTTATGTTTGTAATATATATTATTGTTTATATTTTAGTGTGTATTATATTTTTATCTATGTTATATTTTTGTTTTTTTATAAATATAGTGTGTGGTTTGTTTATATATATTTATTTTATAATATTATATATTATTTATATTTAAATGTATTTATATATTTATTAAGATATATATATATAAATTAGTTTTTATATGTGTTTGTAATATAAAGTTTATATAATATATATAATATATATGTGTGTGTGTTATATATATATATATTTATGTTGTGTATATATAAATTTCATATATTTATGATATATATATATACAGATAAGATATAATGGGAGTATAGTATGTGTTGTATATAATATATATTTGTATTTGGTTATATTTATGTGTGTATTATATATAATTTTAAGTTTAATTGTGTGGTGTGTATTTTATATATAGATTATTTTTATATTTATATATTTTTATTTTTATTTTGTGGTTTTTTATTTATTTGTTTTACACACGATATAAAACAAAAATATATACACACCCCTGTTAAAATGTCAGGTTTCTGTGATGTAAAAAATATGAGACAAAGATAAATAATTTCTGAGCTTTTTCCACCTTTTTTAATATGAGCTATATACTGTAAAACTCAATTGAAAAACAAACTGAAATCTTTTTGGGGGTGGGGGGGGCAGTAAACATAAATAAAATGAAAATAATGCGGTTGCATAAGTGTGCACATCCTCTTATAACTGGGGATGTAGCTGTGTTCAGAATTAAGCAATCACATTCAAAATCATGTTAAATAGGAGTCAGTACACACCTATCATCATTTAAAGTGCCTCTGATTAACCCCAAATAAAGTGCAGCTGTTCTTCTAGGTCTTTCCTGACATTTTCTTAGTCACATCCTACAGCAGAAGCCATGGTCCGCAGAGAGCTTCCAAAGCTTCAGAGGGATCTGATTGTTAAAAGGTATCAGTCAGGAGAAGGGTACAAAAGAATTTCCAAGGCATTAGGTATACCATGGAACAGAGTGAAGAGAGTCGTAATCAAGTGGAAAAAATATGGCGCAACAGTCACATTACCAAGAACTGGACGTCCCTCCAAAATTGATGAAAAGATGAGAAGAAAACTGGTCTGGGAAGCTGCCAAGAGGCCTACAGCAACATTAAAGGAGCTGCAGGAATATCTGGCAAGTACTGGCTGTGTGGTACATGTGACAACAATCTCCCATATTCTTCATATGTCTGGGCTATCTGGTAGAGTGGCAAAATGGAAGCCTTTTCTTATGAAGGAAAACATCCAAGCCTGGCTAAATTTTGCAAAAACACATCTGAAGTCTCCCAAAAGCATGTGGGAAACTGAGTTATGGTCTGATGAAACCAAGGTTGAACTTTTTGGCCATAATTCCAAAAAGATATGTTTGGCGCAGAAACACTGCATATCGCCAAAAGAACACCATACCCACAGTGAAGCATGGCGGTGGCAGCATCATGCTTTGGGGCTGTTTTTCTTCAGCTGGAACTGGGGCCCTAGTCAAGGTAGAGGGAATTATGAACATTTCCAAATACCAGTCAATACTGGCACAAAACCTTCAGGCTTCTGCTAGAAAGCTGAACGTGAAGAGGAGCTTCATCTTTCAGCATGACAGGGACCCAAAGCATACAACCAAATCAACAAAGGAATGGTTTCTTCAGAAGAAGATTGAAGTTTTGGAATGGCCCAGCCAGAGCCCAGAGCTGAATCCGATCAAAAATCTGTGGGGTGATCTGAAGAGGGCTGTGCACAGGAGATAGATTTGCAATCTGACAGATTTGGGGTGTTTTTGCAAGGAAGAGTGGGCAAATATTGCCAAGTCAAGATGTGCCATGCTGATAGACTCATACCCAAAAAAACGGAGTGCTGGAATAAAATCAACAAAGTATTAGTTTAAGGGTGTGCACACTTATGCAACCATATTATTTTAGTTTTCTGTTTTTACTTCCTTCCACCTAAAAGATTTCAGTTTATTGTTCAATTGAGTTGTATAGTTTATAGGTCACATTAAAGGTGGAAAAAGTTCTGAAATTATTTATCTTTGTCATTTTTTTTTTTTTACATCACAGAAACCTGACATTTTAACAGGGGTGTGTAGGCTTTTTATATCGTGTGCGTGTGTGTGATATAGTACACACACACTGATATTGCCAAAAGTATTGGGACACCCCTCCAATTCATTCGTTTCAGGTGTATAAAATCAAGCACCTAGGCATGGAGACTGCTTCTACAAACATTTGTGACAGAATGGGTCGCTCTCAGGAGCTCAGTGAATTCAAGTGTGGTACTGTGATAGATTGCCACATGTGCAATACGTCCATCCGTGAAATTTCCTTGCTACTAAATATTCCATGGTCAACTGTTAGTGGTAGTAGAACAAAGTGGAAACAACTGGGAAAGACAGCAACTCAGCCACAAAGTGGTAGGCCATGTAAAATGACAGAACGGGGTCAGCGCATGCTGAAGTGCACAGAAGTCACTGTCTGCAGAGTCAATAGCTAAAGACCTCCAAACTTTGTGTGGCCTTCAGATTAGCACAACAACCGTGCGTAGAGAGCTTCATGGAATGGGTTTCTATGGCCAAGCAGCTGCATCCAAGCACTTACATCACCAAGTGCAATGCAAAGAGTTTGATGCAGTGGTGTAAAGCACACCGCCACTGTACTTTAGAGCAGTGAAGATGTATTCTCTGGAGTGACGAATCACGCTTCTCTATCTAGCAATCCAATGGACGTGTTTCAGCTTGGAGGTTGCCAGAAGAACGGTACTTTCCTGACTGCATTGTACCAAGTGTAAAGTTTGGTGGAGAAGGGATTATGGTGTGGGGTTGTTTTTCAGGGGTTGGGCTTGCCCCTTCGTTCCAGTGAATGGAACACTTAAGGCATCAGCATACCAAGACATTTTGGACAATTTTATGCTCTCTACTTTGTGGGAATAGTCTGTGGTTGGCCCCTTCCTGTTCCAACATGACTGCGCACCAGTGCACAAAGCAAGGTCCATAAAGACATGGGTGAGCAAGTTTACGGTGAAAGAACTTGACTGACCTGCACAGAGTCCTGACCTCAATCCAACAGAACACCTTTGAGGTGAGTTAAAAGCAGAGACTGCGAGCCAGGCCTTTTCATCCAACATCAGTGCCTGACCTCACAAATGCACTTCTGGAAGAATGGTCAAACATTCCCATAGAACCACTCCTAAACCTTGTGGACAGCCTTTCCAGCAGAGTTAAAGCTGTTATAGCTGCAAAGGGTGGGCCAACTCAATATTGAACCCTACGGACTTATGCAGGCCATAGATGGGGAGAAAAACTGCAGATTTTTCTTTTAAAAAACGAAAATCGGTTGTTCAAGTGGCCGACGTTACCATCAATGGTAAAAAAAATCGGCCGATTTTCTACCCGTCTAGAGGCCAAAAAGTGTCCCTGCAGAGAGCTCTGCTATTTCCTCTGAATCAAGTTCCTTGACATTTAAAGAAGTTGCAAAATGTATCTTTTGTTTCCATTTAGGATACAGATGTTTTTATTTAAATAGATACAATGTTTCAACCGCTGTAAATGTCAAGGAACTGTCAGAGAACTGTCAGAAATAGCGGAGCTCTCTGGGACAGAGACACTCTGCAGAGACACTTTTGCTGGACTGGAATTCTCTTCTTATTTTCATCCTTCTTCTTATTATTCTTCTTCATCCTCATCCTTCTTCTTCATCCTCATCCTCTTCTTCATCCTCATCCTCTTCTTCTTCTTCTTCTTCTTCATCCTCATCCTCTTCTTCAATCCTCTTCTTCATCCTCATCCTCTTCTTCTTCTTCTTCTTCTTCATCCTCATCCTCTTCTTCTTCATCCTCATCCTCTTCTTCTTCTTCTTCATCCTCATCCTCTTCTTCATCCTCATCCTCTTCTTCTTCTTCATCCTCATCCTCTTCTTCATCCTCATCCTCTTCTTCTTCTTCATCCTCATCCTCTTCTTCTTCATCCTCATCCTCTTCTTCATCCTCTTCTTCATCCTCATCCTCTTCTTCATCATCTCCTTCTTCATCTTCATCCTCTTCTTCATCCTCATCCTCTTCTTCATCCTCATCCTCTTCTTCTTCATCCTCATCCTCTTCTTCTTCATCATCCTCATCCTCTTCTTCATCCTCTTCTTCTTCTTCATCCTCATCCTCTTCTTCATCCTCTTCTTCTTCATCATCCTCATCCTCTTCTTCATCCTCATCCTCTTCTTCTTCATCATCCTCATCCTCTTCTTCTTCATCATCCTCATCCTCATCATCTTCTTCTTTTTCTTCTTCTTCATCCTCATCCTCTTCTTCATCTTCTTCCTCATCATCTGACCTCATCCTCTTCTTCTTCATCATCCTCATCCTCTTCTTCATCATCATCCTCATCTTCTTCTTCTTCTTCTTCATCCTCATCCTCTTCTTCTTCATCATCCTCATCCTCTTCTTCTTCATCATCCTCATCCTCTTCTTCTTCATCCTCTTCTTCCTCTTCTTCTTCTTCATCCACTTCTTCTCCTCTTCTTCCTCTTCTTCTTCTTCATCCTCTTCTTCATCATCTTCCTCCTTCTTTCTTCCAGCTTGCAGGTCACTGCTCATGCGCAGATTTTTTATCGTTAAAAAATCGCCGATTTGCCCACTAAAGCGAAAATCGGCCGATGGACGATTTTTTTCCAACTTTACAGAAGAACAAAAACGGCCAAAATACCGAAAAACGGCCGACCAAATCGGCCACTAAAATCGGGATTTTAATCACAAATCGGCCGATTTTCATCTATGCGTGCAATGGCACTCAAGTTCATGTGCGTGAAATGGCAGATGTCCCAATACTTTTGGTGGGTGTGTGTGTGTATATATATATCTCATTAATTAGTATGTGTATGTGAGACACAATTTGCCAAAAGTATGGAACCGCCTGCTTTGACATGTAGTTGCTGCTGTTCCCAGTTGCTTCCACTTTGTTCTACTACCACTAACAGTTGACCGTGGAAATATTTAGTAGCAAAGAAATTTGACAGATGCATGCCTAGGTGCTTGATTTTATACACCTTTTGGCCATGGAAGTGATTGGAACACCTGCATCCATTGATATGGAGGGGTGTCCCAATACTTTTGGCAATATACAGGTGAAACTCGAAAAATTAGAATATCGTGCAAAAGTTTTTATTACAGTAATGTAACTTAAAAGATGAAACTAATATGAGATAGACTCATTACATGCAAAGCAAGATAGTTCAAGCCGTGATTTTTCATAATTGTGATGATTATGGCTTACAGCTCATGAAAACCCCAAATCCACAATCTCAGAAATTTAGAATATTACATGCAATCAATAAAACAAGGATTGTACATAGAACAATATCGGACTTCTGAAAAGTATAAGCATGCATATGTACTCAGTACTTGGTTTGGGCCCCTTTTGCAGCAATTACTGCCTCAATGCGGTGTGGCATGGAAGCTATCAGCCTGTGGCACTGCTGTGGTGTTATGGAAGACCAGGATGCTTCAGTAGCCGCCTTCAGCTCTTCTGCATTGTTCGGTCTCATGTCTCTCATCTTTCTCTTGGCAATGCCCCATAGATTCTCTATGGGGTTCAGGTCAGGCGAGTTTGCTGGCCAATCAAGAACAGTAATCCCACGGTCATTGAACCAGGTTTTGGTGCTTTTGGCAGTGTGGGCAGGTGCCAAGTCCTGTTGGAAAATAAAGTCAGAATTCCCATAAAGCTCTTCTGCAGAAGGAAGCATGAAGTGCTCCAAAATCTCCTGGTAGACTGCTGCGTTGGCCCTGGACTTAATGAAGCACAGTGGACCAACACCAGCAGATGACATGGCTCCCCAAATTAACACAGACTGTGGAAACATCACACTGGACTTCAAGCATATTGCAGTGTGTGCCTCTCCATTCTTCCTTCATACTCTGGGTCCTTGGTTTCCAAATGAAATGCAAAAGTTGCTCTCATCAGAAAAGAGGACTTTGGACCACTGAGCAACAAACCAGGTCTGTTTCTTTAGCCCAGGTAAGACACTTCTGACGTTGTTTGTTGTTCAGGAGTGGCTTGACAAGAGGAATACGACATTTGAAGCCCATGTCAAGAATCCGTCTGTGTATTGTGGCTCTTGATGCACTGACTCCAGCCTCAGTCCACTCCTTGTTAAAGTCCCCAACACTTTTGAATGGCCTTTTCCTGACAATCCTCTCCAGGCTGCGGTCATCCCTGCTGCTTGTACACCTTTTTCTTCCACACTTTTCCCTTCCACATAATTTTCTATTAATGTGCTTTGATGCAGCACTTTGGGAACATCTAACTACCTTTTGAGGCTTTCCCTCCTTATGGAGAGTGTCAATGATGGTTTTCTGCACAACTGTCAGGTCAGCAGTCTTTCCCATGATTGTGATTCCTACTGAACCAGACTGAGAGACCATTTAAAGGCTCAGGAACCCTTTGCATGTGTTATGGCTTAATTAGCTGATTAGATTGGAACACTTTGAGCCGAGAATATTGCACCTTTTTACAATATTCTAATTTTCTGAGATTGTGGATTTGGGGTTTTCATGAGCTGTAAGCCATAATCACAATTATGACAAATCACGGCTTGAACTATCTTGGTTTGCATGTAATGAGTCTATCTCATATATTAGTTTCACCTTTAGGTTGCATTACTGAAATAAATGAACTTTTGCACGATATTCTAATTTTTCGAGTTTCACCTGTAATTTATATTGGACAAAAATATGGAAACACTACATGAATTGCAGGTGTGAAAGTGCCGACATGTTTCGCGTTGATAGCAGAAGTGATTCTTTTACTTCCGCTGTGTGATGAGACAGTTAACAGGTTGGGACCCTCATTTTCATCATTCGCTGCTAGTAGTACAGAGTCCTGTCAGAGCTCTCATGATCGGGGGATTGCAGGACAAGGTGAGGATTGGGGAATTGCAGGACAAGGTGAAGATCGGGGGGATTGCAGGACAAGGTGAGGATCGGGAGATTGCAGGACAAGGTAAGCATCAGGGAATCGCAGGACAAGGTAAATTACACTACAGTGCAGTCCCGAGTGTTTCTCGGGGTTACCGCTTTTGGTACTGAAAATTAACCCTGAGCCACACTCAGGATTACCGCCAGGGAGGTTAAATGACCATTTCAAACAGTATATTGATAATAATTAGTTTTACTCTTTATTCCACAGGCTGTGCTTTTTTTTTTTTTTTTTTTTTTTTTTTTTCAATTAGGAAACAGGTACTTAGATGTGGTTTTTTTAAATTTAAATAATTTACAGTGCTATCAACAACATACAGAAAGAGAAGAGATAACGTAAATTAAACCCTGTGTGTTCAGTATCACTTTAATCTGAGCCATCATGTTCAGAAATTAAATCTGTAAACTAATTTTTTGAAGATCCCCCACACAGTTATTTGACATGTACTCACTATGCCCAGTGAGTAGTCACTGCTGTGTCACACGTTTCACAGAGCCTGCCTTCTGAACTACAGAGTTGCTGAGAAGAAGAGTTTCAGGAGGCAGTCAGTACAGGAATCACTGCAGGCAACAAGGTACCATGGGATATGTAGTTCTTGGAAATTGAAAATAAACCACAGAGGAGAAGATACAAATCATGCTGGTAATCCAGGAAGTTGTGAAAAGAGATGGTCAGGAGATGGGCAGCACTCGCAACATGA